CAGTATGACCCTTCCCCACTTACTTCTCCCCCCCCTCCCCGAAGGCCCCATCTGATACGACCTCCTTTCCTATCCCACCTGCCATCCTCCTAACTTTTATCAGCTCCCTACCTTTTTCTCACAGTTTCCAGTTTTCTGAGAAAGTTGCTCTTTTAGAAAAAATTGGCGCCGTAGGGGAGGAGGGAAAAGATCGTTGCCAATTGACTACTGATTCCAACTATCAAGAACGGTTGTATTATAAATAGCATCGCAGATCTGCGGCGCTGCAAAAAAAGGGTCATTTATAACCAACATAAGACGGGAAAAGCAGGGAAAAGTCAAGTCAACAGCGGAAAGACTTTCCTTGAAGGCAATTATGACTCTCTCCCCAACGGACCAATACGGTCCCTCCCCACACGATAGGACCCCCCAATGATGTTTCAGCAATGATGTTTCTTGTGCTCGCTTCAACCAGCTCCTCTGAAATATGTAGTTTTTCTTCAGAATATTGTTGGCTATGTGAATAGGGGTTGTAAGACTTCAGTAGTCGGGCGATTGGAAGGACCCAACCGATGGAAGGACTTTGAGAGACCCGGGCTGAATACGACCGCGGAAATGTGCATGACGGCTGCACCACCTTCGCTTTCCTTCCCTTATCTCCTGTGGAATAGTGTTTTTTCAACACTTGCGGAGTCTTCGTTTTTATTTGCTGAGCCAAATTCTTCCTAACTGAAACATACCTTCGCTAAGTTGTTTCAAAATAAATGTTTTCTGAGATGGAGGTAGTGTCGTGGCAAGCGGCTTTCGTCCAAGCCGATCAGGCCCTTTGTCTTTCCAGGCCACTAATTTGCTACCAGATTCATGTAAATTCAGTGCGGCCTTGAACAGAAGTAAAATGCCTGGCGCATCCCAAAAACGTTCCGATCAACGCCAGACGCTTTATTGTTTTGCTTGAGTTGAGTTGTTTGTCGAGCTGTTTGCTTGACTAATGGCAAGTCCCCGCTTGGGAATATGACGGTGTAGCCCTAGTAGATGGGTTCCGAGCTGTCGGGTACTCACGGGGAAGAAATGACGTCAGAGGTGTCATTTTTATGCTGGCGAAAAAAGTACGAGAGCATCATGGGCAATAATTAAACCACGTGGTGGAAAACTACGATGAGGGCTCCATGTAGCGGGCGCCCGCCCCCGCGCCCCGGCGCGCCCCCGCCCCGCCGCCGGCCGGCCGCCCCGCACCCCGGCCCGGCCCGCGGCGCGCCCGGCGCCCCCCCCGCGCCGCCCCCGCCGCCCGCCCCGCCCCCCGCCCCGCCCCGCGGCGCCCCGCCGCCCGCCCGCGCCGCCCCCGCGCCGGCCGCCCGCCGCCGCCCGGCCCACTTCTGCACGCGATGTTAACAAAGCCTTTTTTCGGTAACTAGTACTTTGCGGGCAGGATAGCTCGTTTTACTTTACGAGGGGATCACGCGGCATCATGGATCTGCGGCTCCAAAAAGGGATCCATAAGAAGTAGGCTATGCACATAGAAAGTTCTTCCTCAGAAGTGATCCTTGGACCGTAGAAAGGGCAGTGACCTTATTGCCTTCCGGACCACGTCGTACGTTGGGAATCCCGAACGAGGGTCGCATTTAGCCTGAGATTTTTTTTTGTTCTGATTGGTGTTTTCTCTTGTTAGGCGCGCAAGACATCCCCACCTCCCTAGTCGGCTACGCTGCAAAATTATTTTCTGATACTCCATACGGGCCAAGAGATGCCCTCAGCCCCGTCAACAGCTGGGAATAGGTGACTAGTGAGACGAGTTTGAATTCGGCGCGGGTCCACAACAACCTTCCTCCTTAAAGGTCCTTCGGCTACGAATGCGAGATGGTCTCTCTGCCAGTCTTTGGGATCACAGTACATCAAGACCTTCAGTAATTTGAAATAGGAGTAAAAATACGTTGCGGATTTTGGACTCGCCCCCTCCCCCTACCTCCCCCTTATTGACGGCGTTGCAGAATTACCGTACAACAAATACTTCTAGTAGTTGAAATTAGTAGTTTTTCGGTGACGACCGGCAACCCCCCCTCCTCCCCCACGCATTCGGCTCGTTTGTAATGGCTGGGCCCTGAAGTTCTATTGCATATATTATCTCCTCGAGTAGTCCGATAACAGAATGAATCCTTTGTGTTTCTCGCGTCCGCGAATGGGCTGTGTGTATATTTTGGAGGTGAGGCTGAAAGCGCTAACGTCAAGATTGTGACGGGCAGGCTTTTCGTTGTCTTTTCACTTAATTAGCATCTCTAGACAAGGTAAGCGGCTGAACTTCTGGGCTTGTGCATTGAAGCATGAGGCTCGAACGAAAGAAGAAGCAGAGGCTCACGAAAAAGTCAAGACTGTGAGGAGCATTGCTGACCTCATACTTTCTCCCTACTCATTAGCATTGCTAGACAAATTAGACGCTGAACTCCAGTAATCTGGTTGTGCATTGGAGCAGATGCCCACTAAAAAGTCAAGATTGTGAGGATCAAGGCTAACTCTTTGATTTTCTATGACTACCCAAGCCAATGCCGCGCTGAACTGCACTGACTGTGGCCAGCCATTCCGTGCAGTAAGTAAACTGAATCCCCCAACCCTGTCTTCGGAAAAAAATATTCGTCACCTTTCCCGCTCTTTTTTTTCTATTTCAACTAAATATTTGCATTGCAGCATTTAACTGCAGTTTCATAAACAAGTAATGAGTGAGCGGATATTTTCTCCATGAGAAATATACCACGAGTTTTATCTGGTTTTGGGATTTGCCGTATCCAGTAAATTCGGTGGTTTTACGTAAATAGTTTGCATTATGCTTTCAAAGCAGTGGACTGAATTTATAAAATGAGGAAGCTACGCTTGTCCCTCTCCTTTCCAATACATTCCCATAAAACCAATGTGATTTTTGAAAAGGCTCTGAATAAGCTGATGGTTGTGAGGTGGATGGCTGAAAGCAGCTCCAGGAATCTTTTTAAAGTAACATTCATTAACTAAAAAGCATGTTCTAAAATTTAATTTCTCTTTTCGAAAAGTACTTATGTGCTTGGTTTACATAATCAATTCGCAAAGGGCTCACATCTTTTATGAGTGTAGTATATTACAGTCTAGAAGCGGAGGTGGTGCAGCGGCAAGTGGCACGCTTAACCGCGCGTACTCCTCGGGTCGAATCCCAGATCGGTTCCTGCCTAGCCCAACCAAGCTTTTACACCCGGTATTGGGATTTTGATCCATCTGGGAGAATAAGAGAACTGACTCATAAATCGACAGGCCCCGTGAGTAATTGTTTTTCAAGACAAGACAAGACTTTTCCTGGGCCTAAGGATTTTTTTACAAAAGATATCCTCGAAAGTTTCCTCCTCTACTACCCCCTACTTAGAGCTTTCTTCTCTGGTACCACTTTCCCTCATCCTTCCTTATCCTACCTACAAATTTCCTGAATTCTCCCAACTTCCTGACACTTTCGCGAAGTTTTTTCCCGGAAATTCTCCACTTTCTTCCCAAAAACCTGCTGTCGAAGCGAGGGTGGGGCACACAGCGCACTCGAAACGGGAGGAAACCGAGAAAGTTCAACAGCAGAGGACGTTTTTCCCGAAGGCTCACAGGCTAATGCGACCCCTCTTACCCTCTCCAGCGACCGCATGTACCCTCCCGGATGCCTAACGTGCGGCGTTCATTGTACAGGCCACAGCGTATTCGGTGTGCCACTACGGTTCTCAATGGAACTGGAAAGCTTGGCGCATCCCAAAAGGGATTCAGTAACGGCGAAGACTTTATCCATTTATCCCCAGTATAGTACAGGTCAGAGAGGAGATGGTGCAGTGGCAAGTGGCAGGCTTACTATCACCTTGCGGGATCTCCAAAACGGTACTATATTCGTCTGAGAGGATAAGAACACTGTAATGAACATTAGTAGGCCCTTGTATGAGCCATATCGCATTCAATAAGCCACTAAGATTCTATATAGAAGAAAGTACGGGGCGCATCCCAAAAGGGGTTAATCAGTGGCGGAGACTTTATCCTTTTATCCTTTACATGTTACAAGTTTAATTCACAATATTTACTGATCATGACGAGATTTTTTATTCACTGATAATGAAGCACATAAATAGTGTAGCGGAATAGAGTAGTGTTTTAAGTTATATGACGTCTAAACAGGCTCTTCTTATAGCATTCTTGAAATACGCATGTTGTATTTCATCAAGCAAGTCAAATGGAACATCCATCCTCGCGCGATGACACTGCTGTGATTGTGTGTGTGTGTGCATGGGAGAGTGTTATGATGATGATGATGATGGTAAGAACAACGATGAGAACCGGCGTTCTATGCTCTTGCCTAGTAGTCGAAATATGGCTCGAACATTGGCGCTCGCTTGCCGAATCTGTAACCAAGTGCTTGCTTAAAAAAGATTTCACGGACCACTTGAAGGAAGACCAGGGCACATCATCGAGTTTTGGAATTCTTGCAGAGAACGATCACCCGCATAGAATTTTCCCCGCTTTGGTAGGATCTGTTTTTCACAATACCAAATTCGGAGGTAATAACTTTGGAGGGTGCAGTTGAAGGACATTTTATGCAAAACTGGGATAAATGCCGTCTGAATAGCATTACACCTACTCGAAACTCAAAACTGGTTCGTTCTCCCGGAGCTCCTTTGCCTCAGTACTTCGGCGAATTCCTAATCTTCGTCACTATGGAGCTCCTTACCCTTAAAACTTTGGCAAAAGTCCTAATCTTCATTAATGCAGACCCTGTGGATCTCCTTCCCTTTGAAACTTCGGAAAGTCCCAATCAGCTCTGCTGCAGAGCTCCTTCCCCTAAGGCTTCGGCGAAATTCCTAACCTCCAGTCCTGTAGAGGTCCACTTTTTAGGTGGTTTGGGTGGCAGTCCTAATCAACATTACTGTGAAGCTCCACCCTTTTAGTAGTCCAGAAAAATATTCTAGCCTTCATCAGTGTGGAGCTCTTTCCACTTAAGACTCCGGCGAGAGTTCTAGCCTACATTAATGCAGCTGTAGGAGTTATACAAACGTCCCTCCGAGGTAGTCCAAGGTTGTTAACCCCGACGACTTCGGTGTAATAGCCGACCTGTCGCTCGGCTGACACTGACGCCTACTTCAAGCTGAGCACCATCCTTACGAATGGGCAGATAGGCGAGGAACGGACTCGCTGCCAATTAGTTTCGCACAAGAAGTCACTCAACTGCGCCTTCATGGTTCCTGGCCCTTAGATATTCACGGAATATTGCCTTCGAGCAGAATCGAAGGTTATTCCCGCACCTTCAATCAACTAGTTCCGCACAGAGAGTCATAGAAATGCCCCCGCAAGGAGGTACAATATTGTTAGCCCCCAATTGTTCAAGAAATTTGGCTGTCAGGGAGAGGTGGGGGTGGGAGGTGGTAGACACTTTCAGCCAACTGTCGGCAGTGGAACCTTTACCTTGCCGTGATGGCCTCCTCCTCCATCCCGGGTACTAATTATGACCCTCCCTCCCAAGCATTGTATTTAACACAACGGTGATGTGCCCTAAACCAATTGGGAGTTTAAACTGACCGAATAGGTTCACGTGGTACACGTTTCCCGAATCGAATCGGTTCACCGCGAAATCGTTTGAATTGCTGGCGACTCTCCATGAGCGCTTCTGCTTGTGGTGAGATAGCAGAGGCCTGAAAGATCGTGAGGTGCTAGAAGTACCTAGAAAAAGGTAGCGGAGTACTTACAAGTAGGCTCAACACAGCCAAAACAGCAACGATAATCAGGGACTTGCTGATCATTATACCTGAAATAAGTGATTTTAAACAAGAAATTAAAAATTGATTTTTAAAAAAAGTCGTACAACAAGTGGATGCGAATGTTTGCTCTTATCCAATTAGAAGGCCGAATGTTTCCGATGTATAGGACGAAGCCGATAGAGCAGATAGCATAAGGGCGCCATATTACTCGTTATCGAGAATGGTATCATATTTCTGACATGCAGGGGCTAAGTTCGTCGTTGAGCCGCAGCGGGTGGTCTCAAAAAAGTGCTAAAGCGATGCTGCAAGTGCTGATGTCACTTCCGGCTATTAGCTATGTTAGGCTTTTGACTGAGGCCGTTAAGACCGTTACCCGAGGTGGCTTCGGAGGTGGTTGGATACTGTATCCCTGAGGGTCGAGTTTGTATTAAGCCACACTGTTTCCTTGTAAGGGAAATACGATCATAACGCTGATATTTCCTAAGAAGACTGCACAGGGCAGGCGCAAATGACAGAATAACGGAAGAACTCCTGGAGACACCGCCCCCATCACGCCCTTTGTCTGGCAAGCCCCATAGGTCATTAATCAGATGTTACAAATGCAGTGCATAACGTCATATGACCATAACAAACAATCACAGCTTAGCAGTAATTTATCAGATTGATGCATTAATTGAAAACTACTTTTTAGGATCGTCTTAAACCTGGTCGTATGCTACTAGTTGACACCTACGAGCAGAAGATCGAACAGGACGAGGATTTAAAGCGACGTATCGCTCAGTCACGACCGCACAAGAAACTCACGTCAAAACGTGTTTACTTGGATTTACTGCGAAAAGATGACGTTGTAGGTTTTTCAGTATTTGAAAACATTGAGCGTTGTTCGAGAGGGGAGGGGGTTTAATTATGGTCCGTAGGCTACACTTCGATGAATTCAGCTGTCACATGGAGCTGTTACTAACGAATATCTTATCAAATGTAATCTGGAAGCACTTGGTATCGAAGGTATGAAGAAGAAAGATGTTCATCTGGACTCGGATCGGCGTTTGTCATTGTATGCCTACACCCATGACACCTTCAGCTTGCTACTCGTGCCGATGATCAAAGAAAAGTAGGTCTATAGGTGTATACACAAGCGTGTCACTACCAAAGTAACACTATCTATCATTAGATATCAATGGTTATCACTAGATACACTAGGTATCACTGGGTATCAAGTATCACTGGATATAAAAAACGTGGATTGTTAGTGAAAGCTTCAGGGCCTGCTTAAATGGCGTCGTCGCGATAGAACAGCTGAGCCAGGCTGCACAAACTGACTGCTTCTTGTACGATTGAAGAATAACGTGCGCTATACGTGTCAGGAGTGAGCCCGAGACTGAGTCGCTGTGGTGATCACGAGTAAAGAAATGAGCATTGAACATCAGGGACGCGCTTGAGAGCATGAATGAGCCGATGAATTGCCAAGTCAACCTTGTATGGTGTGAGGACATAGTGATTGTGTTTTGAGTTGTTCACCCCGTTGCGTTGTGCGTGAAATCACGCCTGGGGCGAATTTTAATCGCATACAAAAACACGTATTACGTGCGTTGTTCCATTCAATCAACACCGTCTTAGCATAGTTTTCGCCACAAGGCATTTGCAAGTTTCCATCCGTCTTTTAAAAATGATTTTGTGTCCCACACGGGAATACAGTAATCAGGGGCTCCGCTATTGTAGAGGGTGAGAGACTTTTAGAAAAATAGCATTTTCCAAAAGAAATTGAGTTAGTTCCCCGTGAAAATATGACGTAGAAAAGGTGACGAGTAAAATGTAAGGCAATCTCGCCAGCGACGCAACCAGTAATGAAGAAAGGATTGTAATTAAACTTTTTCTGAAAGTTCAAAGGGGAATTAATCCTATCGAGTGTTGCGATGAAGTGATAGGAATGACAGCCGAAAAGAGTTCAGAAGACAATTTATCCTATTTTTCTAGAAAGGAAGCTCTTGGTTCTATGGGTAATGATGCAGCGTTGGCATGCTTGTCCGACTTCAACCCGCTGATGTTCGCCTACTTCCAGCAGCTCTTCGCCCAGGTATGGTAATGGTTCAGCCCAGTGGTATGTATATCCCTAAAGATTAATCGATCGAAGGAATTGAGTAGATTATATGCTAAGGAAAGAATGGCAGCCTTAGGCCATCGGTTGGGAGTAAATAGCGACCGTAGAAGGCAGATGAGAAGGAAAAGTGGGTGGAGCTATGGTGTGACAACGACACTGTGAAGTGAGGAGAGAAGCAATTTGGGGACCTCCCAAGTGATGCTCGGCCTTAAGGAAGTAGATCAAAAAAAGGGGGCGTAAAACAGTACGATTGAAATGACCAAGACCATACAGTTAGATAGCAGATAGTAGCCTCTAGGGACCGAGTCGGGTGGTCATTAGCTCTCGCTCTCGTAATTTACCGTTTATATCTCATCCCTTGATAATCACTATTTTTTTCAATAGCTCAAAACAATTGCCGCGATATTTACATCATTATTTCCCCAGAGGTCCGATTCGTGCAAAATCAGAGCCAGAACGCAGAGCAAAGGGTCTCATGAAGAATCAATGTCCCGCTAATGATTTTGTATTTTACATAATTTTGCAATAATCATTTACGGAAATGGTACTTGGAGTGATTGATTCCGTAGGATGCCCAGCTCATTCCAGTACTAGTCACAAAAAAGTCTTCACCAGTAAGCCGCCTCTGAGGAAGGGCTGATGGGGGAGATTATCTGGCTCGAACGAAACTCGATATTTCGGACTGCTCAGAGTCGATACTTCGCTCTGCCCATGAATTATTACTGATAATAGTTAGGTGTCAAAACTAGTAGGCAGTTGGGTCAAAGGGAACTTAAGGGACACGCGTCGGCTCGATTACGCTACGTCATGTCGGTTTGTCTGTGCCCTCTCACCGAATAGGCAAGGGCAATATACTAAACAGGGCACGTCGCACATTTGGATCCCAGCGTGGGGGTCGTATTCAGTCGCTGGATGGAGAGGAGGGGAGGGGGGGGGATGTTTGTCTTCGCGGAAAATGTTCTCGGTTGTTGACTTTTTCGATTTGTCCCTTTTCATGTGCGTTATATATCTCTCCCTCGGTCAGAAATTTTTTTGGGACGGAGGAAGGATGGAGAATTGGAGAATCACTGTAGTTTTTTTTCGGAAGAATCTCCGGAAAAGTAGTAGGAAGCTGGAGACGTTTAGAAAGACGGTAGGTAGGGTAGGGGATGGAGTATGGGGGGGGCGTACTAGAGGAACTTTCAGAGAAGAGTCATAGTTTGTAAAAATTTCCACCAACGGCAGGGTGTGTCTTCGTACCGAGCTCCAGGGCTTCGGAAAGACGTGAAAAGACAAACAGACATAAAGTGACATAGTCGTGCGGCTCTCAACTACCCCCCCCCACCTCCCTCCGTTCCACCTCTAAACTACCATTGATCCTGGTTGAGTCACGTTGTCACAAAGTGCAAGAGGTAGTCAGAAATTCTCAACCGTTTCTTCATTTCATGAAACCTTAAAAGAACTAATTGTAGATAATTGAGTTATCTTAGAGAATAGCTCAATTTTATGAAAAAAGAACGGCCTTTTTAACAAATTCCTTCTTCTTGAACTTTCTTAAAACTCAATTAAATATTACTGGGAGTGGAAGCGCTTTGTGGGGCAACGTAGAGAAAGAGGTATAGTGATACGGATACCATTGAAGAAATGCTCTCATAGAACGAATAGCTAACGAAATGACGTCTGGGTATGTGACTTGGTGGTCAAAGAGACGCCTAATTGAGATGATCGTCGATAAATCCCATTATAGAGAGGAGTGGCAGAAACATGGCCACATCCTGGCCTGCTCATCATCAAAGATCTCACACCTTTACTTGAAGGTAAACCCCGTGACTGTACGTTGGGAATAGTGGCGTTTAATTGCAAACCTAAGCCGTTAAGTGGTTCTTCAGGGAAGGAAAAAGCAAAAAGTCGTGGAGAACACCCCAAGTAAAGACTTTGGAGCTATTCTGGACGAGTTTCCCGGAGCTGCTCGTTTTATGCCAGCAAATCGATAACCTGCTGCCTCTGGCTCCCTAGTCTTTCGCGTCATCCAGAGCTGAATGCCCCCTTAAAATGGAAAAAAAACGAAAAAGATGTTAAAACTGAACTCGTGATGGAAAATAGCCCTTGAAATTTGGTGGGTGAGGCAACTAGGGAGGCCAGATTTCCATGAGTGCCTTTGTTACTTAACGTGAAGCCGCGAAAGTGGTATAATTTGAGAGACTGAGGACAAGATCACTTAAACAAGGAAGGACGCCTACCAGTTGAACTAATGGACTCTTTTATGAAATCTATTTTCAGGTCACAAATCCGCCAATTGACCCGTTCCGTGAACAGATTGTGATGAGTCTACGGTGTCCTGTTGGTCCGGAATCAAACTTGCTCGAGCCAAATGAAGAGCTCAACAGTCGGCTCATCCTCGAGCAACCAGTACTATCCCTGGTTGACATGAAGGTAATTTTCAGAAAGAAAACAAATAGAAGAGGACTGAAGAGGAAGGATCATCCGCTGTCAGTCATGGGCCGTTTGCGTCTGGACTTTTCATCTTAGAAGAGCGAGTTCGATGTGGCCTCATGAGTGAAGGCTTTTATGGGTTATGACCTCATTAAGCTGGCCCAAGTTCAGTTCGGACATCACAAATTGGCTAACATTGCTAATGTTTCTGGTAGTAAACAAGCCTTGAAATGTTCTGTAAGAGGTTTATGGCCTTCTTGTGAAAGACAACAAAAAAGCATTTCTCGGATTTCATACTGTAATTTTCAGGTGATCAAAAGGACCATGTATAAAGGTTGGCGTAGCAAGACCATTGACATCACATTTCCAGTGAGATATGGAGTGAAAGGTAACAATAATGTGCGATAAATGATTTTCTTATGACAGGTGTCGAAGGGACCCTTTTTTCTGATATGTCGATGAATGTCCTCTCAGCTGAAAGGAATTCATCATTAGCATTCGCTAATATATGCATAAATCGTTTAGGCTTAGTACCTGGGCTGGATCGAATCTGCTGTGAAGCGTGCACAGCAGCACTGGAAGGTTTTCAAATACTTGTACTATCGGATCGGGAAGCTAACAAGGATAACATTCCCATATCTTCTCTACTAGCCGTCGGAGCTATACACCAGTGCCTCATTCGACACCGCCTGAGAATGAAGGTGAGAAAGCAGGGTACAAAGGGGCCTGAGTCATTCAAGAGAGGGATGCGAGCGTTACTGTAATCTACTGTGAGCTAAAAGCCGTCAGAAATTGGTGCTAAGGGCGGACTACACTGTCGTTTTGGGGAAAGTCACTCTCTTTGGGGGCTGTAAAATCGAAAAGTACATTATCGCAACAATTTACCCACTAATCACTTCCAATCACTTTACTTACTGTGTAAAGCGTTACTGTAATTGCCAGAAAGGGTTCAAGTCAGGATGATGCATACTGTCATTCGCCTGTCGCGCTAACGCGCGCAGTCTAGCAAAGCATTTCCTAGCTGGTTTAAGAGCATGCTCCGCGTTCGTTTGATGTTCATACGCCTTCCCTGTGCATGGTAGTCCTGCGCGCAAGTATGGAGGATTCACTACATTTGGAGCTTCAAAATGTGTGAGAAGAGCGCGAACCGCTCGGGAGCCACGCCCGCTCACTGGGCTTCGATAACGACCATCTTTCCTTTTTTTCTTGAAGCTATCTCTAGTACGGTGGTCCACCACTGATTTTCTCCATTCCTAATGAAGAGAGTGGAGTGATATTCAGGAAGAGCTGACACCAGCTGGTGAGAGCTCGTCCGACCACGCCCATTCTTCGCCTACAAACGAAGGTCGGCAGACTTCTGTACAAGGGATTTTGAGCTGGTTTCTTCCCCCCTTTCTTTCTTCGCTTTTAAGTTATTCGCCATCTTGTAAATGGTATTCCAGTCCCAAAACTAACCTTTTTCAACGCAGGGTGTGCATTTGACTCAACCCAGCGCTATCACATTCAGTTGACTGGGTCCTGATGAGAATAGTCTGCTTGTAAAGTCTCCTTCACTACAGTTTTCGCAAACTGGCGAACGATAGACGGTCGTTATTACTGGAGTCAGTCGGAGCGCATCAGTGAGCGGATTCTGGAGCGGTCTCACCCGTTCCGATTTTCATCGGTCGTTGTGGCTTCAGGCCACAAGTGCTCGAAGATGCGCTGGTGCCGCGCTAGAATCCATTACTCACTCACGCCCGGCTGCTTCAGTGGTAGCTGTTGGAAACCTGAGTCGAGGGTATGGGAGTAGAGGCAAGAAAGGTCCGGAAAAAAGCTCTTCGGATTTCCTTGAGCAGGCCAGTTTTCTTGGTAACGTTGAGAAAGAAAAGCAAGTTTTTTTGCACAAAACTCATTCAAACTAAGCGCTGAAGCAATGATTTGTAGTGGACGAGGCTACGAATGCTTCAGCTACAAACCTGATCGTGTCACGTGACCCAAAGGTGAGGAAAAAGCAAAAACACTGTCGTAGTCCACCCAAGATGAACCTTATTGCGTTTCTAGTATTGTACGAGTACGCGAAGAAAAGGGACTGGGCGTGAAGGGAAGAGACCAGAAGAAAGAGCAGCGAGAGGGCACAGAGTGCGAATCCACTTGCACATGGACAGCAAGTCTACATGGGCCTAAATAATGATCCTCTAGCTCTTTTCCTGCTCAATTTCATGCCGTGGGAAGGACTCAGCCTTGGTGATAGTGTGATAAGTTATCCACCTTGGGAGAAGATGGTGCTTCTTAGCCTATCGAAAGTGTGCCTTTAAGAAATGTTGGTAATTACACGTATTGCTCTACAGAGCAGTTTTCATTCAACGCAAAAAAGTAATGATTGAAGCCATTCAATCCCGAGTGATGAAAATATGACATATAATTGATAGCCGCACTGCTGAATAAGACGAGTTCAACTCGGAAGGAGTAAAACTGGAAAAAATGGGACAGATGGCGAGAAACTCGAAACTGAACAATCAATAAGTCAGCCTGTGTTGTGTGCACATTGTATTTTGCTAGTAAGTGAATAGTAATGAGAACTTCACACCTCCTGTTGTTGCCATGAATTGTGTGCAACTACGTAAGCAGCTACAAAATTGTACAAAACTCTCGCAATGCTCCAGACATTAAATGGTTTCCGTTTGCAGACTCCTCTAGGGAACTCGGCGAGTCCAGCTTGATGGGGGACCCAAAGGTACGCAGCGAATCTTGTACAGGCCAAATTGTGGATTCGCAGCTTCCCGAGAGTTTACGAATAAGACCTTTATTATTTACTAACAGGGAGAACTAGTGAAAAGGGAAAATACCTCTTCCAAATCGAACGGGACAAAAATCCTGCTCTTGGAATTGCTCCTAGGTGTTCAGATCATCAAAAGTGAAAGAGTTGGCATGCTCAATGAATTAGGCGTTTTTCAGTTCTGCCTAGACTTCCAAGGAGAAAACTCCTTTCGAAGCACCTTGGTCCAGGAATTGTGAAATGTGTGTCCCAGGGCGGGGGGCCAGCCCTAGTGAAACTCTCCTCTTCTGCTTCTTCTCTTACTTAAATAGAAATAGAAAGGGATAGAAACCACTCCTGGTCATTGGTCTATTCCTAAAAGAAGAATGCTAAGCAGGACTAAGGTAAGTAGGAAACTTTTTACGTTTGTGAAGCCGTTTGTCTTGCTCTGAGGTTTCTTTAATCTATTGGTTCTTGACGGGAAATTTATTGGCTGAAAGTTCGAAAATTAATTTTCATCAATCTTCTAAGCAGGACTCTCATTGAAGACACATTCCGCGATAATCGGATGAGCGGGCAACCGTAAACGTGCTGCCTTCCTCACAGCCGCGTCCTTCGTTACTATCGCATTGGAAGGAGCGGTGCACCGATGAGGAAGCCGAGATGGTACTCTTTCTCCGCCCACGCGATGACTGTGAAATAGACATTTATTTCACTTCCTTTTGAACAAGTTGTTGTAGCGGGCCAACACTGTGGATTCAGCGAGCTTTCCACGGCTATCGCTGGACTATTTGTTGTCCATTTCCCTCTGTTTCACCCTCGTACAGCGAATGGACTCGTACAGTGGAGGCATATTGGTAAGGGTTTCTGATCGGAAGCCGTATCTGGTCAGCTATAGGAACTGAAAGAGTAATTAGTTTATCAAGTCCGGGAAAAAAGTGTTGATATCAAGTTTGTCGACCAACTAATGAACTGGTAGAGCACAGCTGGTCGAAAAATTTGAATCGTGATGAAATCAAGGTAGACTGGAGTTACTTACTCAGTTACTCACAAAGTAACCACAGGAATGTTGGAGTAAGGGGTTCTTTCAGCATGAAAAGCGTCTATCCACGGAACTGTTACAGCTGATATTGTCGCAATCTCTCGGGGCGCTCCCAACTGGCATGGAATCGGCCCACTCCCCCCCCCCTCACTTTACCACTGGTTCCTTTCTTCATGTATCGATCATTGGCTGATCAGCATTGGTAGAACAAGGCAGCTCACTCCATTCGTGGCAACGCCCCGACTTATTGTGACGATGTGATCTATAAGTAACCTTGAATGTTTGACGTTTCTGTGCTCTCTCTTTCTTTTGGGCGTAGGATCGGAAATCGAACGGATCGAACTAATTTGTAACTACCGACCAAACTTCACTTCCATTCTACCAAAGTAAGCAGAGGGCGATAATTACAGAGCCGAAAATTTTCGGGCTCATTAAAAATTCAGTTTTATGCCTTGCAATGGTCAGCAAGTAAAAAGGGGATATGCCACGTAGTCAGGGTGCAGCATCGTGTGTGTGAGGTGGTGGTGTAGGTACGACCCCCCCTCCGAGAGAGGTGTCAGTACGACCTCCCCCACACCTAAATGAGGGTCTTGGTACGACCCCCCCCCCTTCGCCAGCACCTACCCACATTTCTCAAACCACATTTTCTAGTTTTTCGCCCAAAACTTTGTAGTGCACATGAAACAGGTAAAATCGCGCAAAAAGACAACAACCGGAAAACCAACGCGACAAATTTCTCTCGGAGGCACATACAACCTT